TTATTGAAGGGGTCTAGTGCAATAAAATCTATATGAGAATGTAGCTGAAGGTCCTTTCTTCATTCCTCAATTCTGAAAGTTCACAATTCATAGATAGATTCATAGATATTCGCAACTGTTTGTAACAGTTGACTATGCTCGAGTACGATGGATAGGATGCTGTCACATATAATGCTTAATAACTCCTAAACTAAACCGAATATGTTCATGAAACTTATAGAAGAATGTAACTAAAGGTGTTGCCCTGCCGGTGCATATAGTTGTTTGTACGAGAATGTAGCAGAAAGCGGTGAAATTATTGGAAAACCGTAAAGATACTTGACGATATGTCGTACCGTTCCCGACATCACGTACTAAAATTGTTAATAACTAATTATTGAAAGGGTCTAGCGCATTAAAAACTACATGTGAAAGTTCCTGAAGGCTTAGACTTTATTCTTCAATTGTAAAAGTTCATAAAATCATCGTAATTATTGAGTTATTAATGATTTTCTACAGACCGGATTGATTTAGGGCCTGATTGGCATAGCCCAGCGGTCCGCCAGCCAATAGGAAGCGTTCTCTCTCTATCCTTGTCGCACACTAGTGCGTTCCTTGTCTAATACCTCTATTCACTTTATGTTTTACTAGTAACAAGTCGTTACTTCGCGAAGCCAAACGCGAGATGGCGTTAGTCTCGCCGATAATGTTTTTTCTGTCCTTGTCTATCCATATACCTATCCTTGTCTAACATGCGTCACTGTTGCTATCCTTGTCTACCCGTATTCCTTTCCTTGTCTAACTCATTACTCTAGTGCTATCCTTGTCTACCCGTATTCCTTTCCTTGTCTAACTCATTACTCTAGTGCTATCCTTGTCTACCCGTATTCCTTTCTTTGTCTAACTCGTTTCGCTAGTGCTATCCTCGTCTTCCCCTATACCTTTCCTTGTCTAACACGCGTCACTATTGCTATCCTTGTCTGTCCGTATTCCTTTCTTTGTCTAACTCATTTCTCTTGTACTATCCTTGCATACCCCTATTTCTTTCCTTGTTTAACTCGTTTCTATATTGCTAAATACTTACCTCGACGAGTTATCCTTCGTGATAAGCATGAATACTGATGATACCTCACCATCTTTCAATAAGAATTACACAAAAATTAATCACACAAATCAACCAAAAATAAAAGATAATAAAAAAATAATAAAAATTATGAAGTTTCAACTTAGAATTACAGACGAGGTTGCAGGATAGGCCTAATACCACTGACGACGTACAGGATAGACCTAACATCTTATGGGACTTTGCGTCCACGGTACTGGGGCCGAGAAGACCCTTACCTCTTTCGTGTCGCTCCCAACGTTACCTATTCAGCTCAGAATAAGATTACAACATTGGTAGTGGTTGGAATTAGAATTAAATGTAATTTCGTAGTTACCACTACTAAGTAACCTTATTCTACGTTAAATCGGTAACAGCGGAGTTGACACAAAAATGGTAAAGGGGCTCGTGAGCCCTCGTGACTCGTGACAAGAAAATGCATTGGGTTTATTCCGTACTTCGTTTGTGTTAATTAACACTAAATAATGAAATAGACATAAGAATTATTTTATATATCATTTTATTATTTCAAATATCAATATCAATACACAAAATTAACTAAATCTAAATTAAATTAAATACATACTTTATTAAAATACAAATAAAATAAACATATTTGTCAACAATCTTATACACAATGTGCAAAAACATAGTTGCACATACCTGCGTTTTACAATAATCTCTTTTTAAGTCAATTTCTGTGTTTCATTATACAAAAATAGAAAATATTCCTTATCCTTAATTATTACAAACGAAATTAAGAAGAGAATGGATTGTACATCAGTAATATCGTAAAAATAAATTTAATAAGCAAAGTTTTTTCGATTTATCATTTTTACAGATTCAACGCAAAACTTGTACTATAAACACATCGATGATTATGAAACAGGGAGCAATATCACGCATCATATAATCCGATAATTTGATCAAACCTCTGAGCTTTCTGACAGTCGGAGAACCTGTCATAGGTTACCATAGCAATCATTGTTTCCCCTAGCAACTAACATGGCGGAGGTTGAGGGTAAGTTTGCGTATGTCAAACCGTCTCTCTTAGTATTTACGAAACCACAGTGGTTTGTCTGACACAAATAACGCGTCGAGAGATCCTAACGATTGCCGCGTGAGTATTTCTCGCGCTGCACTTCCGTCCGGTTCCAGTTTCGCGGCCGGGGCCATTTTCTAATAATACATATATACGAGAACCACGCGGACGCCAAGATGTTCAGACGCGCGAGCAGAAAAAAGAGGAACTAGCGATGGGTGCGAGCTAATTTTCAATCTACTGTCGGTTAGATCGGTGTACATATTTCGAATGAGAAATATAATAGATAACAAGAGGTAAGGTTATATTTTATAATTGTGCGCAAAATCGAATCGATTCTCGGTGAGTCGATAATCGACATGTGATTTCGTTACAAGTAGAATCGAACATCATATACATATAATATAATATTAATGTGACAAATA